CTGATGCACTCTTAACCTCCAAAAGCTGTTGCATAAAATGTTAAACAAAAAATTAGCATAAGAAATGTAACAAATGCAGATTATATCTGATACTCAAACCAGATGCCACCTCCTACACAATATTCTTCAATATTACCTATTATCGGTAAAGTTAAGAAATAACATTCTCCAAACAAAACAGATTAATTCAGATTAAATAAAGTTTGGCCAGAGGCAAATTAAGTCTTGCTTAAAAAGTTATATACATTTTCTTTTTAGAAGTTTAACTCTCACTATCATACTCCTAATTGGCTCTTTGTCCACTTCACCACTTCTTCACCTTCTGAAGTTACTCTGCAGACTGCATCCAATCAGCTTTTTAAATGTGTTTTGTTCCACTTCAGTATTTTTAGTTTATGAGTTTTACACTGCAGGAATTAAACCTGAAGTATTCTAACATTTTTTACAGTACCTTTGACATAACATGAGGTGTATTAGTAGTAAAAAGCAATACCAATAACATTCAGTCTTACCTGTCCATTTCAGTGCTGGTCGGCCTGGCCACTTTTGCTCCTGATGAGCCCAAACTGTAACTTTCCTGGCCCACTGATCCATGTCCTGTTGTATCAATCACCATGGCAGTGACCTCCTCAGCACTGCTCCCATCTTCTCCAGATGGCTGATTCTCTGTCCCCAGCCACTCCTCCAAGTTTTCTGTTTTGATTCGCACTGCTCCAAGGACTTTAACATCATCATCACCTTGCCCACAATGATCTGCCATTCCCGTCTCTACATACCATTGGCCTGCCCTATTAATCCTCAGTATGGGTTCCCGACTTTCCACATCTGAACTCTGTTCAATTATTTGAGGACTTGTAGACTCCTCAGGAGGACTCAGTTCCCGAATGTCCAGAACTGTGCTAACCTGGCCCATACGGCTGCCTTTTGGAGTGCTATGATGAGGACTCAGAGAACGATTTAGAGATGGGGAAGCTCGATGAGATTCTGGGGGCCTTTCTTGATGCTTTGTTCTTGTTTGGCTCAATTCCATTTCAACTTCAGCCACATTAATTTTGAAATGAATTCCCTCCAGGATTTGTGTACATTTGTCTATAATATGTTGCATTTGTAGAAAACTAGCTGCTGTCAGGTAACTTATTATATCAGCAAGCTGGAGGCATATTCTCCCAGTGTAGCAAAAAGAAAGGAGCTGCTCAAACACGGTGGGATTCTTGATAACAGAGATGGAGACTGTGCTCATTTCGTTGAGTGACATATGATCTCGAAAATAAGGTGAGCTAGCAGCCAGCACTACCTTGTGCGCCCTAAAGGCTTGGCCTTGCACATTAACCACAATGTCACACAGCCGGCCCTGCATTCGAAGCTGGTTAAGATGGCTCAAAACCGAATTGCTGAAATCAGGAATCTCCAACTGTATGTTTCCACTTTTCTCCATGACGGCTCCAGTTGCAGGTGGAGCGACCCTAATGATGGAAAAATACACCGCTGAATTAGAAAGAGCTTCTCCATTTCTACATGTTTTGTAATGCATGACATTCAAAAAAAAAAACACGTTTTATATCAACTTGCATGAGATGTGTGTGAATAAAACACATAAAATGCTATTTTCTTGTTAAACAGTCATGTAGAAAAAACACAATGTTGACAATTGAGTAGTAAATGCTTTTTTCTCAACTGTTTCTCTTAGCAATATTGACATTGCTCAACATTCCAAGTGCAATTATGCTAATTAACAATGTTACCAATAAAGGAGATAGGTAATGTTATATATAAGATGTTACTTATTTCATGAATTGCACTAGGATTTTCATCTAGTCTTTTAGTAATTAGTGGGAAGATATGAATAAATGTTTTAATAGCCTTCTGAAGGGCAGAGCAATAAAATTATGCAAATCCTCTGGCCTATCTTATAACATGTTCAACAAAAACAGTTTCGTCTTTTTCAACACTTTATACATAGGACCTGACTTCTGCCATTCCTCTTGATAATAAAAAACTCAAATTAAGATAGAAATTCCATCAAAGGTTTAGGGCAAATGTAAACAATTTGGTTTATAATGTTAATAAAGGGACCTCTCAACCTATGCAGTGCTTTGAGGCATCTAAGCAGAGATATAGCAGACTACTATTTCTCATTATGTCATTGTGGCCAATCATGGCAACATATCTTTCACTTGCTAATACACATAGAATTGATATTAATAGAAATTCATTGAAAATAAAACTAGGTTTATTTTATATTGATGAACAGTAAAAATCTCCTTCGCAGTAATCACTGTAGTCAGTGTATATAATAGTCAAGGTGATGCAAAAATGGTATACTGCATGTGTGCATGTACTCAGTATTTTTCAAACTCACATAGTAACATTATCAATAAAAACTGTATCTTCCATATGCAAATAAATTCTTTAGTTTCTATCCAGGTAATGGATTCTTGGTATTTGTACTAATTCAGAAAAAAATATATCAGAAGACATCAGAATAGGTTTCTTTAAGAATACTGCAAGGATGTATGGATATGAAAACAGCTTATGCTAAGAAAACATTATGAATGTAGCACCATATAAGAATAAATCTTGAAAATTGAGGGGTTAGGTAAGAACTCTTATTTGCCAACTTCAACACAAAAAGCAGCATGTTGTACTTTATTTATTTTGTGTATTATTATTTAGTAGTATTTTCCATCTGCGTTTATTTTTTCAGTAGTTCTTTTCCATCTTTTATGAAAGAAAAAAGATGATTGTGGTACATTGAGGAACCATTAACCTTGTTTATTTATTTAATGTATGGCAACATTAATCTTGGATTGGTATCCAGTTCTAAATCCAAATCTCTTATTGGAGTGACACAGGACACTCAGTATTCACTTTTAATTATGTTTCCTTACTGTAAGGTTAAAAATTATGGTAAAGTATTCTGTAATTTGAGATTAGTTTTATGAGCTTTGAAAATGGACTTTTAGACTTACACAGAATTAACAGAGCCCGATAGATGCTTTAGAATTCTTTATTTCTATTGTATTACAAAAAGGAACATCCATTAGCTGTATTTTATTGCATTAGTCTACTACGGTATTGCAGGGACACAATAGTGAACACATTTAGAATTACTAATAATAAAGTATAAAACAAAAAACTTCAATCTAAAAGGCAGATAGATATCAGAAATAATTATATGCAAACCTTTATGCACAAATTATAAAAACACAATGAAAATTAACAAGATGCGTAAAAACCTCATGAATCCATTGTAGGAATACAGTAGGTGTTGTGTAGATTCTTCTGAGCAAAGATTCTCAAAATGTACAGAATAGCTTTTCCATGTTGTTCTGTGTATATAATCTATGAAGCCACAGACTTTCAAAAAATAGTTTATCATGAAATAAGTGAAGCCACATTAATTATGTGGCTTTCTAATTTTGGGAAACTAGTTTAAATATATTACAATTCAAAATTCAAATTTTAAAAAAATGAAATTTAACATCTTTTTTATCAAATCTTCCTCTTCCTCATATAGACCTGCTCCCATATCCTGATTCCAGACCAGATCTATGTTCAGATGTCCAACAATAAGACAAGCCCAAGTGAAACAACGGAATTCCATGCAGTCCAGCTTCAACTGTGGCTGATCAAATATTTTCTATGAAGGCAATAAGGCTGATGCTTCACAGTCATTATTCAACAGCATATACACTATTTCAACATTTGTTAAAATTGTTGTTTCTCTATGAGCAGTCTTCTTATAAATCCATTTAAGTTATTGTAAGCAATTAATTGCAGGTATTAATTTATTTTATCCACATGCAGAAGTATTATTATGGCTTGTCCTAACACTACTGCTAATCTGGAACTTTGTTTGGCACTCTGTTAAATTAAACAGGAAAAAATAATTCCCAACATTACAAACAATTAGAGATAAAAACTTTTTTTCCAGTTTTTTCAAAAGAAATCTGATTTCTCCACACCACACATAATTTTAGTGAAGTTCTATAATCTATAACAACTCTTCGCAGAAATAACAGTACATGCAGACTTAAAGAGTAAACTGCTGGATTCATTTTGGAGTATTTCCAAAGAGGCATGCAGGCGAGAGTAGACTACAAGTCAGCATTTAATCCTCCTTCCAACTTTCTAAATCCTTCTCTCCGCAGTAGCCCTTTCTTAGACCCAAATACTCCAAAAACCTGAGCAAATTGCAACGAAACAAAAACACTCTGCTCTTATAACAAAAAGTACCTAAAGAAGACAGCTAATTAAAATAACAAAACTGAGGGAGGAATGTATGGGTGACTCAAAAGGCAAGTACAGTGGCTGCAAATTGACAGATTTCGGCGGATTTGGGGAGAAGGTGCAAAAGATCAAGGAAGAGGAGGGCTGGCAACCTCGTACAGAGAAATATCTTTTAGGAGGAGCAAACTCCGTTGCTAAGATACAGAAGGGGAGAAGTGAGGCTAGAAATTCGGGGGGCATGCAGAATCCACAACACCGTCCTTTGGGGAGGCACCCCAGAATGGCTGTCCTCGAGGGCGCCCGAGGGTGGGAAGAAAAGGAGAGAGAGAGAGAGAGAGAGAGAGAGGACAACTCTCCCGAGCTCCTTCCCTTTCCCGAGGGGACCGAAATACATCGCCTACGTACCTCCAAGGGGGGGTGGGACGAGCCCGAACACCCTTCCGGAAGCGAACCCCCCAGAAGAGAAACGCCCCGGAAGCACATATCCCCCCTTTCGCCTTTCTTGATTGACTTGCTTTCCCCCCAGCCCCACTGAAACAATCTTCGCGTCAGGTAGCCACACCCACAGGAATGAGCCCACCACGGAGAGGGTGGAACCTGCGCCTGGCGGGCTGCCTGGGTCCTTGTGGCGCTGAAGCGCGGGGAGGGGGGAGGCGGAGGGGGGACTGTAGTGCATAGGAATCTTTTTTTTTCTAGGGCGTGATACCAGGAGGAGGAGCTATGCAAAGAAGCGTGCCCGTCACGTGACCCCCTAGAGCGACACAGAGTCTATAAAACGGGTGGTTGCGGCCTGCGCTTTCTCTTTTGGAATCTGCCCTTGGCTGTGGTGCTGTGTAAGTATTGTGGGTATTCTCTCTCTTCCCCCCCCCCTCCCCCGCAATAAGTGTTGCACTGCTAATTTCTATAGAGGAGTTGGGTCTTTGATCGTGGATGACCTTGGGGAGGCACGGATGGCGTTGGATTATAGCTTTCCGTCCCCCCCCCCATATTTTGTTCTGCTGGCCGTTGAGCATAGATGGCGCTGCAATAACCTTTCCAGATAGGCCTCGTGGCTGAAGAAGGTAGAAAACTGATCTTCTAAAACGTTGAAAATGAATCCCGCACGGGAATAATAATAGCTCCCCTTATTAGAACGGCGTGTAAACTTTTGCGTTAAGTTTGGATTTCTTAGGCCAGAGAGTAAAACTCATAAAAAGGATGAAACTTCATGTACTGAGATGGCGAGCTCCAACTTCTCTTGGCGTAGATCTTCGGATAGATCCGAAGTGCGCGATGCCCGGGAGCGATCCCTGATAAACTATTTAAAGCTTTTCATATTTTAAAAAAAGATTAAACGATTGGCGGCTATTTACTGCAAAATTTGGATTTAATGGCATTGCAAAAAAAACTTGAGAGGGTCTTTCGGATTAATATACTGAAAGAAACATTTTTTGTACCTGCAAATGATGATAAATTACGTTGGTAGGGACATCTGAGATTGTGATGAATGCCAACAATTTCTGAGCAGGATTAGGACCTTAATTTAGGTGTGGCAAGGATTACTCATTTTCAATCGCCTGAAATTTTATGTTCTGGTTCCCCAAAACATTGAGGGTTTTTTTAGTAAGGGAAAGCATCAAAACTCCAGCTACTTTGAATATAATACCAGCCTTTCTTAAACATTAGTTAAGAAATTGTAGGGAGGAGAATTTTATTTTTCAGTTAGATTAAGCTTTATTCAAATGGAATCTTCCCTAATGGTTGTCTTCATCTAATTCTAATGATTTGTGTCAGGTGTCCACTTTAGAAATGGCTACAGCAATAAAGAGAATGTATGGCAGGTTGCTTAAATAGCATCAAATGTTGATCAGTTGGCAGAGGGAAAGCATGGATAAAAAAATAGATGAGGGAAAACTATTCCAATTTCATATTTCATAATTTATAACAAAAGCAACTTATATATCTGATCTGAATCATTATGACTCACCCAATAACTTCACATTGAGGCTCATGTTTATTGAAAGGCTTATTAGTGTGAAACACTTGATACTCATACAACTGCAAATTTTGAATCATTTCATCTTTGTCCTTTGGAAGTGATGGTGAGAGGACTCATTTTTGTCCTGATATAATTTGCACTGATAGTGCAAGTAAAAAATCGAGCTGTGGCAAGGAATAAAGCGCAGTGATATTTGAAGCATCCATCCCTCTAATACATCCAATTTAACTGAAAGTAAAAGGAACTTGCTGTTTTTGCTTGAAAGTTGGAGGCTAAGCTGAGAAAGATTTATAAAACAGTCCTTCCCTCCTAAAAGAAGAAGTAAGAGTCCTTATTGTTGGCAGTAAAATCAGTGTTAAGGCTGCAGGTCGAAAGGGAGTCTGGATTTCTAAATATTCCTAGTCAGAATACTGCCAACACTAAATTAGGTCTATTTTGTTTTTAAAATAGCTCTTGTCTGATAAATGCCTATTTCCTTTGTAGATACACAATCTCAAGCCAATGCTGTCTGTAAAGGTAAGTTTCTGTTCTTGTACTTACAGAACGCTAAGTAAATAAAAATAGTACCTTTAGTTGTGCCTTTGTGCCATAATGATGATACTTATTTGCTACTCTTGAGAAAATAATGATGAGAACACTTAACCCACCTTTGTTTCAAACTGAGGCACAATCTATGCTCTTAAAAAGAATCTTTTGTAATTTAAAACAGACATTAAAACATTTGCTGTTTTCTCTACAGGGTTTCACAAATGATTCTGTGATCATGGAACAAGGATTGGTAAGTTGTAAGATTTAAATAGTCTGTTAGGTTATTTTGTCCAAGGAAGGATGTGTGTGATGAAAACATAGTTCAGCAGATAATCTGTGATGAACTCTTTGTCTTTCGCTCCTATCTGATGCATCCTCTATTTAAAGCTGGTCTGCTCTTGGATTGTTCCTGATACAGATATTTAAGTAATTGTTAAAAACCCTTCTGACCTCAACAGTAACAGTAAAAATGATTAACATTTTTTAGATTTCTGCTGATAAACATGAAAATTTTATCATTTCATTGTATTCACTTAACTATATTGGAATTTAAAATAAATATGTTCCTCCCACAATGTTATGTTCTTATTGTATATCTCAACTGAACTGAACATCTCTTACAGATTCTGTGTTTGCAAATATGGGAACGCTACCCATTGATGTGCTGGCCTTCGGCTTCTCTAATATGGATCAGCTTCAGATGATCAAACATGTAAGTTGTAAAAAAAAAATCTATTGTAGGCTTTTTGTGCATTACCCGGCAGTACTTTATGAACAGTTTCAATGTTACCAGGAAGATTCTTGGGTATTCTTTATTTACACTAGAGAATTGAGAAAATCCCCTTAACCTCCATCTAATCAGGTACCAATTAATGCCTGGGAAACCCCCGACTATGAATCCAGTGAGAGCCAAATTAGTTTGAACCAAACTCCTTACTGGCCCCCTGGCACACCAGAAGAGGTATCCTGGCTGATCAAATCCCTTAAGGCTAATAAGGCATCAGGGGCTGACATTGTTATGCCAAGTATAACAAGACCCCAATAGCAAAATGAGTGTGTATATGTGGTAAAGGAGAAGTTGAAGATCACAAATGTTTTATTACACTGAGTTATGCAGAGTTTTTAGGTTAATGCATATTCTCCCCTTATTAGATTACCAGGGAGGGCAGACAATTTGTAGACTATTCCAACGTGCAGTAGCAAAATTCTGTGCAAGCTACAATGACCAGAAGGAAAATCTGATTCAGAATTAAAGATATTTACTGCACCAATTTCTTGTAGATATCTCTAACAATTTTTATAGAGAATCTATATTCACACGCATACTTACCCGCTCTCCCATCATGTAACCAAGGACAAGAGCCATACTGTTTCATACCATGTATTTATTATGGATGTTATTACTTATTAGTAATGATTTTTGACATTGTAAACAGCGATAATTTTGTCTATTGCTGGTCTGTGAATGTAATAAAATTCATTATTACTCTCTTAAAAAGGCTTTTCGTCCCTTTTGTAATTTGAAACAGACATTAAAACATTTGCTGTTTTCTTTACAGGGTTTCACAAATGATTCTGTGATCATGGAACAAGGATTGGTAAGTTATAAGATTTAAATAGTCTGTTAGGTTATTTTGTCCAAGGAAGGATGTGTGTGATGAAAACATAGTTCAGCAGATAATCTGTGATGAACTCTTTGTCTTTCGCTCCTATCTGATGCATCCTCTATTTAAAGCTAGTCTGCTCTTGGATTGTTCCTGATACAGACAGGCCTACTTTAAGTAATTGTTTGTTAAAAACCCCTCTGACCTCAACAGTAACTTGGTAGCTGAATGGCATTTTTAGATTTCTGCTGATAAACATGAAAATTTTGTCATTTCATTGTATTCACTTACTTATATCTGAATTTAAAATAAATTATATGTCCCTCCCACAATGTTACGTTCTTGTTGTATATCCTAGCAACCGAACTGAACATCTCTTACAGATTCTGTATTTGCAAGTATGGGAACTCTACCCATTGATGTGCTGGCCTTCGGCTTCTCTAATATGGATCAGCTTCAGATGATCAAACATGTAAGTTGTAAAGGAAATATATCTATTGTAGGCTTTTTGTGCATTACTGGGCAGTACTTTATGAACAGTTTCAATGTTACCAGGAAGATTCTTGGGTTTTCTTAAATTGCGCAGTCCTTTATTAGGAGTTCTTACTTAATAGTGGTTCTTTATTTACAATGCTATCAAGATGGGGGCCACTTGTTCCCTTTTTTTCTACTGGTGTTTCTGTGGTTATTACATGTTGAGTTGGAATTCATTCAACTTGCCAAACAAATGGAAAAACAAATTGAACCATGGTTCTAAGTTGAATGATTTTTTTTCATGCTTGGGTTCTGATTGTTTTCTGTGACTGGCTGTGATTTATGCATATTGCATCTTCTGCCTCTTAACAGTTGTATTAGATTTTATTTGCTAATTTGTTTTGCTGTTCTGCAGTTACAACACTTCAGTTGTGTTGCTTAGAAATGTAAAGGAAATTTGCTGATGCAAGCATTTTAATTACGTCCCTTCATCTTTGATTTATCTGCAATAGCTAATGTTTAAAGAAATTGGATTGGGAGGGAAAAGGACAAAATTGATCTACTGTATATGATGCTGAATCAGGTCGCTGATACATATGAGGATAATTTGAATATACACTGATACAGTAGAAGACCAAGATTTGGAAGAAAAAATGCTTTGTGAAAAAAAAAAAGATGTGTGGCTAAGAAAATAATTCTCTTTATAGGTCTTAATGTGATTGAGCTGTGTTTCTGAAGAACCTCAAAAAAAGGTAAGTTGAAATACAGAAAGTTGATTCCCTGAGCAATATTATAAAACCTTAAGGATATTCTTTTTTAGGACTTGGGTATATTTGGCATTTTAGTTCAAGGATGAGAAACTGTTTTTCTCTAAATTTATGTCAAAAATCCATCCTGTTAATTCTATGTATGCCTGTAAGGAAGGAATTCTACTGTACTGCATAAAACTAAAGCAGGCAGTTGCAGCCAGCATTTCTTCTAAAAGGGCTCTTAGGGAAGACTGAAGAGGGGCAGGCAAGCATGTTGGGGGTATCCTGTGAATTTAAGCAGATTGCCTGCCAGATACACAAATTCGGGGGCAAGTGGCTAATGAAGGTGGGGAACAAAGCACCAAGATATGTATGTCAGCGAGAGGTACATATAGAGGTACCTCTATATGTACCTCTATATAAGGCACACACACACACACATATATGTAGAGTATATATTACATATGTATAAGGTACATATAGAGATTAAATTTCAGTATAAAATAAATACAAAAGTCATCTAAGAAAAGCCTGGCAAAAAAGTGCATTTTTATACAACATTGAGTAGAATCAAACATCCCATTGTCCTGAAGCAATTGAGGATGTCATCTCCCACCTTTTTTGAAAGAGGCCTTCCAAAGAGCATCTGCCATGTGAAGGTTTGTAAGGAGAGAAACTGTTCCTTTGATAGATCCCGCCTAAGCCATTTGGACTAGCTCTATTAAAAGTCATAAACACCTGTAGGTTTAATTTTAATTGCTGTTTTTATAATCTTTATTAGTAACCATAAAAACGATGGATACCAACATAAATTGTGATGAGTTGACAAGTAACACAACCATTTGTCCATTCTGATCGTATCTGTGGCAAATTGAATATTGCAAATTGCTAGAAATCTATAAGGAATTTCCCAAGTCTCCTGGGAAAAATTTGAACAGTATTTCTCACATACATGTGGCAGAATGTTCTTATGTGTTAATTAAAACATACTTGATATTTTTTAAGCATTTAATGCTGTCAGCCTGCATGATGAGAAGCTAAAAAAACTGACTTTAAAGATGGAGGTCTGTGATTAGCTCTACCTGACTGGGCACCTACCTGGATCTTCCATGATTAAAAAATTCATTTTCTTGGCTATCATCAACCTTCTTTTCTCTTTAGGTCTTGGAGTAACATGAGTAGTTTAAGAGCAAAACTACTGACAGTGATAAGCAACTACTATCAGCTTAACCATGTGGACTTACTGTAAAAAATTGCATAGTGTTTTGCAAACAGGATGTCCTTAAAATAATACAATCTTTAATAATGCTATATTAATAAAAATGCCTGTTTGACTAGATATCCTAAAAACTAGTTCAGAAGATTATTCTCCATAGAGCTCTGAAATCCTCCAACAGCATATCTGTTATAGTCACCATTCTGTTAGCATCGCTTTGCATCCCGCTTCTTAACATTTTTGCAGTGGGGGAGGGAGGAGAATCGAATGCGGGGAGGACAAGAGGGTCTGGGAAGTCAAGCAGTGCCGGCCCAAGAAGGTGCCAATCCAGCCCTAAAAGAATGGAGGTGAAGCAGGTGTGCACACAGTTATCCAAACAACCTGAAATTTCAATTGGTCAAAGACTGATTGGGGGGGGTGTCCCAAGGAAAAAAGAGAAGTGTATTGTTTGTGCACCAATTCAGATTCTGTTTTCCTACTTCCGTAACAACTTTTGCCTCAGGAAAGTATACTCTTGGTCAAAAGAATGGTCCAGGGGGTCTTCCTTTTTTTACTAACTGAATGGGATGGATGACAATATCCTTTACTCTTTTTAGTTATTGTTTGGCTATCTAGTCCAGTCAGAAAGTTTTATTGAAGGTCTAGAGACATTAGGTCCATAGAATTGCTGTGGAGCTACGTCTGAAATTGGAATGTGGGTGAAAAAACACTGCAATTTTTGTTTTTGTAATACTAAACTTCCAGAGTTTTGTGTTTGCATATATAAGTGGACTTTTTTTTTTATATTAATTAGGTTTTGAGGATGGAATATAGTTTGAGGTAAGAGTTCAGTTTTCATTTATTCCATATTTAATGGTTTGTTCAAAGCTTTTTATCAACTTGTAACCAGTGATGAGATTAGATTCTGCCAAATGAATATTCATGATATTAGCATCAATCCGTTCCACTTTTTACTGAGGTTACATTGATCAGTCCTATGATTAGGCATTCAGAGAAAATAATTGCTTTCCCAAGTTGTCACTTGAACTTACTGATGTATATTTAAAAGTATAAGTACCTTCTTCATCTTCCTCAAGCACATAAGATTGCAAATGGGTTATTTTGTGTTAATTCTGCAGTTATAGCAATGTACTGTTCTAGTCAGTATGTTTTAAATTTGGTTATTTTCTACCAAGCAGTAGGCTTCCTTACCAAATGCTGGAGCAAAAATTAGAAATAAATTAACTGGAAATAGTTTTTGTCTTTTTTTGCAGTTTTATAATAAATGTTTTTTAATTTCCCCAAAACTGTTAGGCATTTACTGTTCTATGGGATCTCTTGAACAAGGTCAGTATATTATTTTTATAAATGTAATTTATTTTTATAAATTATTTAGTCTTCAAAATTGATAAAATTATGGGTGAATGACTTGCAGGCTAAGTGCTCCTTTTATACCTCTGTAATATCTTCCCAATGAATTTCACCATGTCAGATTCATGACAAAAATATTAAAGGTGGAATGAAAATTGACTAACACTAGATGTGATGCTTTCATTTTTGCATAATCCCCTCTTCCCAAAAACCTCACTGAAATATAAAATATTCTTGCACCAGAAATAGTCCTGTCTGTGTGGATGGTATTAACTGGACCTCCGCTCAGTTCTTCAAAGATAATCTTGTAAAGAGATTACCTCAACACGGGCAAAAAGGATGTTTTCAAAATGCAGTTGGGGGGGGGAGGTGTTATTGCTGCCTGTTTTGTTCCCTGACTTCTGAAAGAAAACATACCAACCAAAATTAGATTGATTTTGTTGGAAAAGCCAATGATGTTTTAAGAGTAGTGGACAGAAAGTTTTCTGAGAACTGAAAACACTGAGGCTTTATGTTGCTGATACTTAGTGATATGTCAAGGTACCATAATTTAAAAACCTGAGATCAAATGAATTGCTAGTGGAATAGTAGCTGTTTTGTACAACTACATAAACTGATGGGTTACAATATTTTTTTATTTCAGATTAGTTTAAAAACAGTGGCATCTGATGGATAGAATAGTTTTGACTTCCTATTATAATGGTAAGCTCATATTTTAAAGGTTTGTAAGGGGGCATTAGATTTCCAAATGAAGCAGTGTGTGTTCTTTGATCTTGTTTCATGTTAAAATAAACATGTTTCCTTTGTACTGTTAATGATGAAATTGTGAAAAAGACAATGGGAATCTCTCTGAAAAGCAGTGATGATACAATTTTACTGAAACAGTACAAATGATGTGAACTACATAATTATTATGTAGTGTTACATTATAATATATAAAATCAGCATTAAAATTGGCTGGTTCTTGTAGTAAATCTGTATGTTCCAGTTTGAAAGTCTTTTTAAAAAGCACCAAGCATCACCACGTGTGATCCTGGCTTTACATGATGCATAAATGTATTTTAAATTATTAGGAACTGAGCTGTCTAGCAAAAACAAAGTACTTAAGAGGCAGAGAATTTATAAGTTTTACAGCAAATGCCATAATTTGTTCCTGTCTGATGTAGCTCAAGGTAGCTGAATTCAATTTCATCTCTGCTGCCATAAGTGATAAATTTTAAGAGAATGGAGTTTTGGGGACATGCAAAATAGTTTTGGTGTTAAATGAACATTTGCAGAGTGCCCTATTGCAGGAGTGTCAAACTCAAGGCCCACAGGCCAGATGGCCATGCCCATGCAAAGGAGGGTAAAGTTGCAATATGTCACGTGTTGTTGCGACTTTGACACCCCTGGCCTATAGTGAGTGCAAAATTGAATTTTCAAGTGTTCTGAAACTTTGAATCTGAATCTACAATGCTTTGAGGTGGAAGCTGGCCTATTGAAACAACTTCAGTTTCACAGGAACTTAAATGATGTGATATTTGGATGAAAATAAACATACCTTGCTGAATTTCTAATTAACAGTAGAGGCTTTGTTTAGCTTTTCAAACAGGGTTGCTCCTTGTTTTTAGCAAAACAATGAAGTTTTGTGGAGCTATTATAAATTTGTTAGTGGCCACAGTTCAACCACACATGAAAGAAATAATGCACGTGAAAAGTCAATTTTGCACAATAGAAGTTGAAAATTAATGTCTGTCTGATTCCCTAGGTAGTTGATGAACTGACATTTGGCTTTCAAGGTATGTATACTCTACATTAACATGCTTATTTTCTTGAGAATGGTGAAATGATGTTACCCCAATCTTGAACTCTCTTTCTGAATAAGTGATGCAAGATCTAAGATCTGACCCATTCACATTTTACATTGTTTTGTATCTCTACATGGGGAATGTATTGGCTTGATTCCTTTTCATTTTTCTCTTTCCAGATCTGAGAACCTGTCCAGAAATTACTATTCTCAAATACATTGGAAGATATTTTGGAATCTAAATGTCATTAGATTAAAAAGATAAACACTGGACAATAAAGATTTTACTTCCTGAACATTTTTGAGTGTATCTTACAGATTTTTGGTTACTAATGATGAAAATAAACTAATGTAATCTATGACATACCATTTAAAATAAATCTATTTTGCAATTTTGTTTATATATTTAAGTTTACTAATTTTCGTTTGTGTTATAAGATGCACTTGGGATATTTCATAGCATTTGTGGAATTTGGACATGCCTTGGCATGCTCAGGCTGAATAGATGCTACCTGGAAAGACTATTAAAAGCAGCTCACATGCATGACTGCTCATTTTGTTCGATAATTTCCTTATGTAAATTACACAAACACCGACAATGCTATGCTTTGAAACAATCACATTAAAGAACTTGGAAATGATTATCAATGAATACTCTAGGGGAAGAGGGATGTCAAACATCACAGTGGCATCATGTGACACATCAGGACATTTTCCCCCTTCGCTAAACTGGATGTGGGCATGCCAGCGCGTGACTCATCCGGCCTATGGGCCAGGAGTTTTGACAGCCCTGCTGTAGGGGAACAAGAGGTAATTGGGGGCGAGTTATTAGGCATCTAGTTCTTGTACTTAATATTGGCAGGCATGATTGGGAAGGCATTGGAATTTTGGGTTGAAACGATTTTTTTTTTCCTTTCAACAAAAGTGATGTTAATCCAAAATTTCAGTGTCAGGAAAACCACTGCTTTAAAATGTGCCTTGCTGTGTAAAAGCTTGAGTGAGCGTTGAGGTACACAGCAATTTGGGTGCAGGTTGGCAACCAGTATCAAAATCCAGGAGAGCTTATTTTGAAATGATTCTCTTGGCTTCAGGTTTTTACCTGAGCTTAGCCCATTTGGGCTTGTTTCTATTTTTAGAAGCATTGAACTAAAGATGACTTGTAACTCAGTCCTACTCCAAGACCACCCCTGGTTAGTAACTCAAAAGATTCGGGCTCCATCTTATCTATCAACCTCAATATCTCGTTAATTTCTTGTATGGTGATCTTTTATTAGGGAGTGTAAGGTGGAAACTATCCCAATGACCAGCTATATTAGATTCGGCAGCTATAAAGTGAGCTAATCCTTCAGATTGTTAAGCCTTTTTATAATACTCATCAGGTTTGTCTAAATGTTCTTGAGAAACGGGTTGTTTATTCAGGTGCACTCGGACAATGATAGGTCCTTGGAGAACCCTTCATACATAAAATGGAAGCACTCATTGCCAAGATGAGCTACCTCCCTCTCTGAAACTTAACAATGGGAAGACCTCATGCTTCAAAAAAAACCAACACATTTTGAACACTTGGCAACAAGATTTTTGAATGAAGAATTCATTTAGCATCTCTAGCATTTGACTTTCAAATCAACTAATTACTTTGTGCGGTATAGAAGGTGACTGAAAGAAAATAGCCACATTTCTGGATCCCCACTTTATTTATTTGAATATGTAGAATGATTTGGTTTTGCTGTAATTGATATTTACTTGTCTTTTCACCAATTCTTCCTGGGAGAGCAGTACTTGCTTCACACATACTCCCTCTGGATATAGTTTTAGATCTCTGCTTATTCCATGCAAATTAGGATCCACCTTTGCACCACTATTGTCTGCTTTTGATTCACAATTGCATGAGCTTGTTTTAGCTGACTCGCAGCAGTACTTGGATGACTAAGCTTAATAAAAATACTGTACTCTATACTCTAGCAAAACTATAGTCTAGATGCCTCTGAAGAAAAAATGCTATCTACAAGGCTAACTATTGCCCAGTAAGCCTTCTTTCAGTCATCTATAAGGTTTTCACCAATATAATAGCAAAAGGAATATTGAGAAATGGCTAGTTTCTATTATGGAAAAGTAAAAAGTTGAGCATAGATCTTAATGCCTTATTCAGCTGCATCAAAGGAGTCGGAAGTCAATGCCTCCCCCCCACACTATTATCTTCCCTTTTTCATTCCCTAATTTCCCTAATATTTGCTTTTATATTCTCTGTATGTTATAATTAATAAAACTATTACAAAAAACAAATGATTTCACCAGGACATTGCCACAATGGAAAAACTATCAGGGAAGTTGAGATCCATAAATGCTGGCTGACATTATAGCAAAATGCATTGGACACTGAGTACAAATGAAATTCAGCAGCAAAACTCTTGCAGTCCTCAGAAGAATATAGGAAATATGATTAAATATAATTTTATTTCATATTTCTCAAGATTCCTACATGATACAACCAGTCAGAAAATACATTTGTGTCCAATTTGAAGTGATATATGTAATTGCCAAAAGTTTTTTGGGAAGCACAACTTTAAAAAAAATTGTCCAGTTTAATTGGTTCCTTATTAAATTTTATTGTATAATAAGTTGTAGCTGCAAATTTATTTTGTACAGTAAGGCAGAGTTGAGTAATCTCTTCCAGAGATACACACACAGGTCATAGTTATAAAAATAGAGATGCCCCTGTCCTAAAGAGACATATACACGAACAGATAGACACACTGTTCTGATGTGAGGGGAGCGTAACCAACATTAGGGAGGTAAAATCCCATTGTCTCTCTTAGTTGCAGCAGCTTTCACATTTTCTAGAGGTCCTCCCAGGAACCGTTCGTTCAGTGTAAGGCCTGTTGGAACTAAGGGTCTTGCAGGAACAGAAAAGCAATAGTTTTATTTGGCAACTTGGCAGTTAGGAAGAGATGGAGTAATACAGTGGAAAGCACAAATGTTTACTGCAGAAGTTCAACTGTCCAAAAGTGAATTTTTGAAAAATATGTAACACAAGCAAACCTAACAATCTGAAATAACAGCTTCTATATTATGGCTGGAAATAATTGAGAGTTTTATTTAGGTAAAAAAAAATCGAAAGCCAAACTATGTAAGTTGAAATGATTCTCCCCCCACCACCCTTTTTTATACTGACTTGTATTAGAGCAGGGGTCTCCAAACTTGGCAACTTTGAGACTTGTGGACTTTCAACTTCCAGGAATTCTGGGAATTGAAGTCCACGAGACTTAAAGTTGCTAAGTTTGGAGACCTCTGTATTAGAGAAATTTGCCATTTTTGCTATCTGATCAAGTTTAATGAATTGGGGAAAATGCCTCCTAACTGGCTATACTGTATTTCTATCTTAAAACCCTGAAGAACAACCCCCCAGTTTGGTTTCAAATAACCAGTTTTTAAAATAAAACTGAATGGTCTCCCAGAACCATCAATAGTTTTTAGTACTGAAGCCAACCTTAGTACTTAGCTTTGAGTAATTAGAATAACACAATTTATATTTCTATTACATTTTGAGGCTTTTTGATTACCTTCATGTTCCAAAATTAATTTGGAATTCTTGTTTCTTATTCAGCTCATTCTATCTTGTGTTTCCATGTTATGCCATACATAGTTAACACAATGGTATTTTGCGAGGATTATATTTCTAGAGACCAAAATTTGGAAATAATCCAATATAACTACATATGAATGTTGCTCTAAACCACTAGATAAAATTTGATTATTTATGCAAAGTTACAGGCAGTGGGATGCACCCTCTACTACAACTTTAAACATACTACTCTCAAACTGCTACATTGGGAGACATTGTTTCATTGGAGAGTTTTTGATCAAAGCTAATACCAGGATTAAAGCAAACTTTCATAATTTGGTTCAGTTAATTTTTAAAAACAATTCCCTGACAGATTATAGATTCCTTTGAGCTACTTGGTACAGGATAGTCACATTGTTCATACATAATGTCAAACCAATTAATACTTACAGCACTTCTATAACAGTTCTGATTTTCACATCAAAAATCTGTAGAGTGGTTGCAATACCTCCCAATATGGCCAAATTGTACTGGATATCGACTAATTACCTCTGCAAAAATCTATATATACTTCGAAGATCCTCCATACATAAAGACAACACAACAAAATGTCAAAACTGCATCTGTCTATATCACTATATAACAATAGTAATAGGACATGCTGTCTTCTGAACATAACATTATTGTACTTCAGATATACAAATATATAAAGCCTCATATTTGTGATTCCATACTTACCGTTAGAACAAAGGTGACAGAAAATAAATGTCCATGGTATAATGAAGGATGCCCTTGATTCTTTCAACAGTTCACTTTCCCCACAAATATGGATAATCTGTTCACTAGTGACAAATTTAGTGTCTTTGCTACGATTTCTTGAGAATATATAATTTTCAGTTAGTCCTTGCTTTAGCTTCTGTCAAGGGCCATGTAACCTGCACATGATATGGCTCAAGTTCTTGTGGGTCAACATAATCTGGAGCATTGCTCATCAAATCTCTTCCCTTGAAAGATTTAGGGAAAGCAATGACATCTCGAATACTCGTACCTCCAACTAGAAGGCAAATCAGTCTGTCAAGCCCTGAAAAAGAAATGCATTAGATATTAATAGTGCTCTAAAGTTAAATAAGTTTTGCAAAAAAGATCCTACAGCTGTCAATGAAGCAATAAAAAGTATACCAGTATCTCTCCATTAATAAAATATATTGTACAGGTAAAATAAATATAAGGTTCATTTCAGGAAAAAGCTGTAGGTACTTTGTCTAACACTTTTAGACTGTAAAATGGATAAAGAATCTGAGAAGGATGAAACAATATGCTTGTACAGTAGAATGTAAGAGCTTCTTATTCTATGCACTTGCTAATTCACTCATTGCTTTTTACTTGTTACTTCTCTTGCTATTTTTTCCATGCTGGGAATTTTTCTGGAATGAAGGAATTATATCTTTCATTAATTTAGATAACCTCTCTGCTTATGTCAGTTGGAAAAACTGTGTTGGTGAGCAACATGCCTTTAATTAACTGTGCTACAATTGAGAAATATATCAAGAGGGATAAGTATTCAAGTGCTGAATCAATAAAGCTATATAACTGTTTTATTGAGTATGTTGCCTTTTTGATGACTGGGAACAAAGATCCCCAAATAGAGAGAAAAGCTTCTGTTTCTCCTTTCAAAAATAACCAATTTTGAAATACAAACCGTTACTGTTTTGTTCCTAGCTACACTGAGATAAAAAATAAGTCAGAATAAAGAATGAAGGTGATTGATAAATGAAGAATATAGTATTACATACTAGTTTTGTTTAATGAGCCAAAGGATTTGCAAAGCAAACTTTTCTC